ATGGCGCCCCGAAACAAACGTACATGTTGTTCCAGAATGACGTCCCGATAGATTTGGCTTGTCATGGTTCCAATTTGAACATGCAGGTCAGTTCTGGAACCCAGAATAATTCCACCCCAAACGAGCACTCCTGCACCACCGTAACGGTGTCCATCAATGATGTTTTCTTGGTGGTAACGAGTACCTGGAGCTCTCCATATGAAAGTCCGGCGAGAATCAGATTGCAAGCTAAACCTGGACTCGTCGGAAAACATCACACAAGCCCACTGTTGCGGTGTTCACGATGCATGCTCTCTACTCCAGGGGAACCGCAGGCGACAGTGAGTTGCAGTATGTTGAACGCATCTGACAGGTCTACGAGCATATAAACCAATCTGCCCTAAGCGTCTGTATACGGTCTGCCTTAAAATTGTCGTACCAATGGCAGAAGAGAGCTGACGAGACAGATCTGAGGCTGTGCTCCGCCTGTATTTTTGGCAGTAATTGCCAAATACCGGTCCTAATTCGGAGTTATAACTCTGGGGCGACCTGTGCTGTAACGTCTACTCACATTACCATCATCTTGGAATCGTTGCCAAAGCCTGGAGATGACACTGTGAGCAATTCCAAGTTCGTCTGATACTTCCAGACGGGTACGCCCACATTCCAGACGGCCGATAATTCTACCACGTAAAAAGTCATCCAAATGCGTCCTTTGTGTCATAACTATTCGGTTATTGCACTGAAATGCTTATAAAGCGCCTGTGAACAATTTTTCTGCTTTGCCTGTATTCCTTATATATCACTCTCTTACACTCTCGTCATTGTGACGTACCATCGGTGTCATCTGGTTACTTCCTGAAATTTGCATATGATTCTTGAAGATGTGTGTAGTGATTTTACAGGTGATATATTTATTTTAGAGTTCGATTTCCGCGTGACTCCGAATTATCCTTAATTTATGGACATGAGTGTATTTCCGGAACCCTCCAGTCATAGACGGAATATGAAACATTGTCGACAAATATGCGACATTGCGGAATGCTGTGAGGACAGACGTAATACAGACGTTCATTTACATTGTTAAATAATAAAGTAAAAAATAGTTAAGATCTTGCAAGTGAATAAAATATTTTATTATTTTAGATTTTTTCCAACTGTTGCCAAAGGATATAAAAAGATGTTTTACTAAAAATTACCTTTATTAGTTTTACATTCTTAGGCTAGTTTGTATTTTACATTTACATAACTTGTATTTTACTTTTACATAACTTGTATTTTACATTTACATAACTGGTATTTTACTTTTACATAACTTGTAATTACATTTACATAACTTGTATTTTTACATAAATAAACTTAATTTGCAATGCAGATGAAAACGTCGCCTTTTTATTGCAGCCAAACAAAGAGGGGATTTTTAAACTTAAATGATTTATTCTAGCTGTACTTGATTTAATCTGTTATACCATTTATCAGTGTGCAATACAATATCTTCTCAAATAAATGAATATGTAGTTTAAAAATATTTTAAAAAAATAGATTTTGTTGATTTAAAAAATATTTAAATCAACAAAATTATTTACTAAATCGCTGTCTGGCCAGCTACTTGTTTCAGAACAATTGTAAGGATCTTAAGTTTTACTAACGTTTATTTTATTTTAAATCTTTACTATCACTTCTTATTTTCTACTTCCGGCCAGAATTAAAAGCGTTAACTTATTTATGCAAAATTTGTCTGGCGAACGCCAGGTACTTAAGTTGTGGCTTTTTGCCAAGCGAGAGAGAGGAAGGAGTTAGTCGAAGCAGGCCGCTTGCCTTAGAAGTTTTACTCGGTTGCTGTTTGCCTTCCAGGCCAGAGGTTTAATCCTCGTGATAATTTTAAACGTATTGTAGTGTTAACAGTTCTCTGTACTACATACGGCTTCCTGTTAATATCCGGCCAATCTTACACGTAGGATCTTGTTGATTATTCCAAATTTAAGTTAGAGTTTAGTATATTTTTATATTCTTACGTTCAGACCACAAGTGGTTGGTCTCTGTATTCCGAAGTACGGAAATTATTGTAAAGAGTGAAAAATAAAGGGTTTTTGTATACCCTTCCTGTGTATCTTGTCTACTTCCCACAGTTATTGAACATAGCTTTAGTAAGCTCCCTGTTCCGAGTCAGGTCCTCGCATGTTCCCAAAGAAAGTAAGGCGGACCATTGAACCTGATACAATGAGCGCAATAAGTCTTGATTCTTTTGTATTTGCGCTGTGTTTCTAAATGCCCATAAAACTATTCTCTGAATGACAGTAAGTAAACAATGAATTAGGTAATTAAGAGGTTAATTAAATGCAGTAAGCGTAAGAGTTACTTGTTAAGGAATTCGCTTTATATGTAGGTAAGTTTAGGTTGACTATTGTAAATATCCATTTGATCTTCCTTTTAAAAATAGAAAGGTGGTCGTTTAGATGATAAGGTATTAAAACCTATAGTTATTTTACTAGTTACATTAAGCTTAGAATGTCTTATCATTTCCTTAAATCAGGTGCAATATTGTTGAGCTCTTTAGAGAGGAAAGAGCTAAAACTATGGAATAAAGCAGAGTCTCGGAGAACTGAAAGATTCAAACAATGGTGTTTTAAATTCATGAGGCTATGAAATAGTATAAAAATTTTAATGAAACTGAAAGTGAAGAAGTTAAAGTAATATTTATTTCATAAAGCAATAAAGAAAGGCATAAATTACAAAGGAATGAATTGATAAAATGATAAATGTCTTGATCATAGCTTATTAAATATTATTGGCTCTCTGATTCTAAAGATCTGTCAGCAATTCAGAATAACCATATAATAACGTTTACCTAAAGTCCTTATTGTCTACTTGTAAATGTTTTGCATTTGCTTCACTGGTGAAACACTGCAAGTGTATCAACACTCTAAGTGTTCTACAAGAATTGGAACTCGCTTTAGATTATCTAAGATAACAGCCTCGAAAATAGTTTTAAATGTAACAGATAAGCTTTTGCACAAAGGATCCGATTTTTTGTGGAACATTTCGTAACTGTAGATCCAATTTTATTACACATAAATTTTAAAATTAGCATAATGAACATGAATGCAGCATAATGAACTGGGATATTTTCTTCCTCCATATTACGTACTTTCATGATGTAATTGGAAGAACATCCGGCTGGGAAACGGAAGATCTGGAATTTGAGTTCAGTTGAGGACATCCCTGATTTCTCACATTTCCTAACTTCTACGTTTCCCGGCTATCTACAGGTGGGGTCTGAACTAAAATATGGAAGATAATAATTTGCCCCAACTAGCATTTGGTGACCGTTCGCCCTTTAAGTGGAGAAGATAAGGTATATTCGTCTTAACACGTGCATTCTCAGCGTAATAGGAAGAGTGCCCGGCTAGAAGTCGGGAGGTCCGGAATTCGAATTTAAGTGAAAGGAATGAACTTTTTCCACATTTAGTGCTTAAATAAATCTAATTACTCTTCAATGCAACATTTAAGACATTTTAATTTAAATTAGTTTTGTACGTTATATTATGCTGCAATCTGAGATTATTTTAATTTAGCATTAACTGCAGTAGTAATACGGAAATTAAAATTCCCTCGAAAGTACGAAAACTTGCTTGAATACAACTAAAATTTAATTGCCTTCTGGTCAAATGTTTAATTACATAGTAGAAAAATCATCCTGAATGTATTTACGTATAGAAAGAATTTACGAATGGAGAAAGAAAGCCAGGAGAGCTCAATAGATAGGTTAAGATTTCTTGAGTAAAAATGTTTCCTTAATTGTTATTCATTCAAGGCTATCATGTGTTTTGTATCTCTAAATGTAGTGAGACTTTCATTTTTGGAAATAGTGCCAGCACAAAGGAGGACGTTAGATAGTTTTGAAAGAAGACAAGTTTTGAATTATAAAATAAAATTGAGAGGCGTATTTTTCTCTCTGTAATTTAGTATACCTATCACCTCAATTATTTATATAATTATTAAGTAAGAAAATATTTTATAAAATCATCTGTCTATTTGTGTGAAAACAATTGCATTTTTAATAACTTTAGTTTTAAAGAGAAATCATAGTGTTTTAATCACTGTCCTAATACATTTTACAAAAGAAAATAATTCGTTAAAGACACAAAGAGATAAAAATCCTCTATATCTTCTATCATATATGCACACAAAATACCGCAGGTTATATCAAAATTTTTATAAATATTAGTCGGGTTTTTTAACCTTCATTCTTCAATATTATTTTCTGTTCACTATTATTATTTTCTATCCAAGTATTTCCACTTATTATTCTAAAATTTTCCTCGGTTAGTGTCTACTCTAAACATTAATTGGCATTATGTTACACACTTTTTTCTTAAAATACAAATTTTTGTAATTTTATTTAATATTATAATTATAATATTAACATAAGAAGAAAAAATTATTTAATTATATTTATGTGCAATGACAGGAGTTACACAATAATATCGTCTATGTTTGGTTTCGGAATTTTGAAAGATAGGGAACTCATTTACAGCAGTTGAATTAACATCGATAAACGATCGAAAAATATAAATCCTAACTAATTACTTTATCCTAACTAATCTTTTAAAATTGCTTAATTATAAAAATATACATTTACATAATATGTGCAAAGCCATCATTAGTTTATAAATGTATTAAAACAAAGTAGTTTGAAACAAATTCGAGGTTGATTAAATACAATAATAAATTTCGAAAATTTACGAAATATTCCTTGGAATATCGCCGAACTATTTCGTGTTTTTTAAAAAAAAATTCTGAAGTAGATTCTAACAGGATTTACTTTTTTTCTGTCGCTCGGTAATTTGGAATGAAAAATATTCCTTCTCGCTGACATTTGAACGATAAATCTTACCTTTCTTCGACATTAATCTTGTTGATCTGATCCAAATCCTAGCAACAGAATGACGCGTATTCTATGAATGGGGAAATATATTTCTACAAAAGAAAAAGGTATTCATTTTTTTTTTCTTTTCCAGATACACCCGTAGAAATCCCAGCATTTTCCGGATCTTCTTATTTGGAACTTCCCAAACTCCAAGCATATACGCGTCTTTCTTTAGAACTGGAATTCAGGTCTTTCGGCAGCAATGGCATCCTTTTATATAACGGGCAAACGCCCTCCGGAGCTGGAGACTTTGTTTCCCTTTCCGTTAAAGATGGTTTCGTTGAATTCAGGTAAGTAATTCTTGCTGATTTATTTGCTCGCTGAAAGTATTTTTATAAAAGGGGAACGTAAATACGATGGCAGACCAGTTTCTAAAAAATTTATACGTAGCTTCTTGTTGCAGATGGATGCATCTAGGAAAAATGAAAAATAAAAAATAAAATAAATAAAGGCATCTTTCTTCACTGCATAGTATATCAAATTTTATTTTTTTTTACCAGCGGGCTGCAGCTAAAGCAAAATTTATACGTTCTATGTACACCTGAAAAGAAGAAAACACATTTCAATATGAATAAAATCAGTTCATTCTTTCCAAGAAACAACCAATTCGTACATTTTGTCGCTAAACCTAGAAGCAAAATCTTTTGACACTCTAGTTAATACGTATGAGGCCATGATTTAAATTTAGTGTAATACAACCACTTTTTCCAATATAAATAAAATAATTAACTTGGCAATAGCATACAGTGTCAATTATCCTAACCTGAAACAAAAATGTTGCCAACAGCAAATATTTATTTAAAATGGTGTTATTAACGAAAATGTTTCGACGTACAATGACGTCACTTACACTCACGTGCTTTCTTCAACATCAGAATATGTCCTTTTCATAATATTACGGTATTTGATAGTGTTATTTTTATTTCATATTTTAAGAAACTCGCAAATTTTGTATTAACAAACTATACGATTTGAAATCGAGTAGTGGCAACACTTTTCGAAATAAAGCAGAGCGCACAAGGCTATTGCCACTAGGAACAATGAGCGCGAGAATTCAGTTTTTCAGAGTTTTTAATTAATATCTATAAGAGTTTTGAATTAATATTTAAGAGTATCTCTCTTAAAACTCAGCTCTCTGCCGTTCCAGAGGAGGTGATGCCACAAACAGATAAACACAGACGATACAGATTTTAATAGTATGTATTTTCTATCGAGATTTTCTTTTGTTATTAGGCAACTTTAGCTTACCTTAGGTCATAGTCCATTCCCTTTCCAGTAGCGATGTTATTAGGCAACTGCATTTTTTTTTTGTTTTGCTTGAGTTCATTGTATTAATTTTAAAATGTATAACAATGTATTTGAAATACATCATTGTTCTTTACATTATAAATGTATAATTTGCTCTATTGATAATTGCACAAAAGACACTTTAAAATTTCTTTTGAGTTTTGGAATTTTAACGGATTCGTTCATTTTATACAGATATGTAAAATCTTTGTAAATAAAGGAGAATGTCCCTATGTTTATCTTTCATGTAAATCTACAGTTTTTATTCCAACCTAGATGAAATTTGAAGAGGAAGATCTCTGTCCACATAAGATTTCTCAAAAACAACCACATGGGGTTCCCACTATTTATATACGTATAGTTTACGCTAATTTAACGAATTTTTGATAAAAAACTTAGCGATTTAAAAGCTTTGTGTTACCATTTCACAAAGCATAAGTTATTTGTTTCAAACTTTAATCAGAAAACTTGACAATATTAAAAAAAATCGAGCGCAAATTACATCTTTGTCTTTCGAATATATTAAGCAAACTTAAACGAAGTGTTTCCACTGCCCGTATGAGAATATTTTTAAGTGTGCTTTACTCGCAAATTCATAAATTCTTCACCGATTTCATTAAGTTTCTATTATCATTAAATTTTCTTTCAAATGTTTTCAGTTTTTAATTAAAAACTAAGGGATTTAAAAGCAATAAACATCAGATTTTTTCAATTATTATTAACTGCTAGTTGGAAGCGTGAATTTTCACTAACTTTATTCTTCCACAGCAGTGTAGAAGTTTTAGAAGAGAATATAAATGCTCTGTCTATCAGCTTTTCGCGAAGTATATTTCTAAGACGGAATTTCGGAAAAAGTACTTCAGTCCAATTAATAAAATATCGTCTAAATTTTGATACATTTTTAAATTTCTTGTAATTATGCTGTTTTTAAATTTTAATATGTTGTATATTTTTCTAATGAATTTAGAAACCAAAAATGATATTTTAATTTAAAATAAATGTATAGTTCCCGATTATCACGGAAAAATCAGTGTATTTTTATTTCTTATTAAACTTAAAATGTATTGTTCTTTAAACTTTAAACGTATTTAGACTTGCATTATAAAACTTATAAGGAACTATTCTACTGTTTCGTGCGTATTGCCGTGGTGGAAGTGTTAAGCTAGTATTGGAAGTTTTGCCTTTTGTGTCCCAGCAAGGGCACTCGATTTTTATGTTTGCTGTTCATAAAAACCTTATACTCTGTGCAAACTTAATGCCTATAAAAAACAAAATATCTTCAGAAGTAACTAATGCGTATAGAATAAAATATTTACCTAGCGATATCACAGATATATTTAAACAAACATGATAACAATTTATACTGTTATCATGCATTCTTTTTTCAGTTATTCGCAGAAGGAAAACTGACAGTTTTTTCAAAGAATAATAAAAATGGAAAAAGATGGAAAAAAACCTGATCTGAGTACTAAATGACTTCCTTGTAAGACTATTAAATTATACACATTAGTTGCTGCATTTTAAACTTATTTTATTGAATTCTTTTAACTTCGTTGACCGATCCCTCAAGGCAAGTTGAAAATGACATCAAAAATTGCAAATTTTGAAATTAAATATCTCGGTCAATTTTTGTCTCACTCTTTTTTGTTCTCTTTTTTGCAGAACGAGTATATAGTATATCTTGTCCAGATATAAGTACAGGAATAAGCAGACCGTATTAAAAAATAGATTTCGTTAATTTTCCAAAATTAATATATATTTAAACTTAAAATTACGAAAACGTGAATACTTTTGCCATTTGAAACACTTGATATTTGAAATATATATCTACGATCAACGATCGCGAAAATAAAGGCCGAGTAACAGCTTTTAAGAGGACGGTGGACTTTAAATAGCTAAAAATCAACCAAAATATTGAATTTGTTTTATACTCTCGTAATATTCCACATACGTAACTACATCATACGCAAAAAACCGAGTTCAAATATTCTAATTTTTAAAGAAGTTACAAGCATTTAAAATGTGTAAACAGCGTAAACTTCGCCCTTTAAATTTTGGAGAAAATGTAAAAATATGTATTTCAACAGTTATTTACTGATGTTATAATTTATATATATTTGACGAAAAGAAGCGTGTATTTCTTAAAAAAGGCTAGAAATGTCAGTATTGACAAATATTAATGAATTTAACTTTGGTTATGTAAATGCTATCGACGTAGAACAGGAGGAAGCAAACTCGTTTTCCCTACTTGTTGCAAAAAAGCGTGATCAACGTCGCTTGAACAAAAGCAAAGAGAGAAGTTTATCTGCTTGGAAATAAACAGAAATAGTAAAAAAATATTGTAAAGCATTAAAAGACAATGTAAATGTAACAGATGAAGGTAAAACATATGATGCGAGTGAATTTTAAAAGTTTCATTGGATATAATGGATAAATTGTTTCTACCTCTAACTTCGAATCACATACCAATTTGCAATATGTTTGTTTTTCTCATATTTAATATTGAGAGATTAAAAATAGCTAAATGATACGAAAATGTTATCTAGTATATACATATTCATATTGAAAGTTAATTTGCTGTTTCTCATGACTATGTATTAAAGGTAAGTTTGAAGAAAAATTTTAAATTCGGTTTTCTCAAAACAAATTTTTTCGCAGTTGGTACGTCTTGAAATTGCTCCATGCGTCTCATTTTTAGTCTAAAATGAATGATATTTGGAAGAAACTATCTTGTTATATGTTACAGTAGATCTGTGTATGCATTTTTGGATATGTGGTTATTAAGAAGTTTAAACTTGTGATAATGTTTAACAAAAGGCGACTTTTTCCGAAAATTGGGTTTCAGTTCACAAAAATCCTTTTTAAAAATTTCTGATCCGTCATATTCAATAACGGATACACAAAATCTTTTGTCAAATCTTTATAACTAAAAGGAAGAATTAGGAAAAAATATTGAAAATTAGTGAGCAAAGAGCATTTTAAATCTTTAATTAAAATAATTAATTATTTGTTTTACATTTTTTAAATTTAAAATAAATTGAAATATTGAACACATATTTTATAAAGTTGTGTTATAATATATATTTGTATAAGGTTTCTTGTTGAAAGCACAAAAACTTAAAAAACTAATTTTTAAAGTCTACCGTCCCCTTAAGTCGCATAATAGTGTCTCGGATTCTTCGGTAACGTACACTAAAGACCTAAAATACTGTGTGAGGAATTATTATCGACAGGGCTTAGTTACCACTAAAGTCGCAAGAAGGGTGTAAACCTTTATTAACTCAAAAGGTGATGATGAATTTAAATATAATAAGTTCTTCCTAATGGCTCACAGGATAATTGAACGCACAGGAAGGCTCTGACACGTAGAAGTCGGCGTAAACAAGCTTAATACCTAGAAGCGCTCTTGACCGCTAGTAATTCAAGACAATATCATGACTTTCAAGCAGGCATTACACGCTTCACCTTCAAAACCTTCACCTTCAAAATCATCTTCAAAACCTTCCCTTAAAATACTGCTTCTTTCTATCTTCTTTGAATATACACGCGCTAGCTTATTGACATTCTGGCAAGAAAGCGTGGGTTGAAAAGCGAGAATCAAAGAAAAGTTGCTTTAAAATAAAAATTAGCAGTTGGATAAATTAATTAAATAGCTACAACAGTTTGGTACTCTCTTTATAAGTAAAGAAGTAATAAAAAGAAGGATGCAGAACTGGGTCTTATAACAGTCCCATATGCAAAATTTCAATATTCTTTAACTAATTGTTTTTGAGTTACATATTTGCGTATAGACGTCACGAAAAAGGTCCATTTTGAATTCATTTTGCAATAAAGAGTATTTTATTCTGTCCGTAAGTACAGACGTCACGCAAAACAGTAATCGAAATGGATTCGGAAGCGTCAAAATGGATATTTCTATTGAAATATGAAACCCGAAAGGTTTAACGATTTCAGTACTTTCTTTACTTCTTATAAGGAAGTCAAAAAGGCATAATAATAAGGTTTTGTTTGCCATATTTTTCATGCGCTTGTAGCATAACTGCTTGGTTTTACGGAGATACGTGTAATAGTAAAGTCTGCAGAAGAAACTGTTGCTCAAAATAATACTTCGATTTACTAGGTTATGAAAATTCTAATTAAACATTTTATGACAATATCATTATTTAACAGAACGAATAAGCAATTTTTGATGATACGAGTATTAAGCTATTTAATCAAATTAATTATTTGAGAAACCTTTCTGTTCCTATTTAGTGATAAAATTCTGTGCAGAAATAGAGGGCATGAATATTTTTGCAAAATGCTTACAGATCTCAGAAATATTTTCAAAGTTAATATTTTTAAAAAATATTTTGTGTACCTTCCATAGATTTTGAGGTAGTTTTATTTCAGAAAATGATAAAACATATCAATATTGACAAAACTAAAATTAACTTTTTACGCATTAGATAAAAGAATATATGTTAGCTACGATTATGAAATAATTAATGAACTATGTTTTATTATATAACATTTTTCTATATATTGTTACCTGTTATTATTATTTTTCCCACTTGTCATTTCGATAATATTGTAAAATTGTCAAACATGTTTGTTACGTGAATGCTTTGCTTTCTGTAAGAAAGGATATTTCTTTCTTTATGCTTTTATTATTAAATCTTTGAGCAAAAATTGTAGGGTATCGTACCTCAACGACGATATCTATTTTGATCTTTTCCCAATCCATTTATACAATTTTATTGCGTGACATCTGCACGTATGCACAGAATAAAGGATTCTTTTCTTCAAAACGGTTTGTAAAATTGATTCCAAAGGAATTTTTTCGGGACGTCTGTACGTACATACTTACGTTCGTAAGTATCTATGTATGTATATATTTCGCATAACTCAAAAACGATTAGCCGTAGAACGTTGAAAATTTGTATTTAGGACTGCTATAATATCTAATTGTGCATCTCCTTTTTCATGGCAGTCAGCAGTGGTAGACATATAATTCAAATTACGAAAGTGTTTGATATTACAGAAAAATTCATTTTGGGCAATATCAAATTTAAAATCATTTTTTAGTAAATAGCGAAATCTAACTTTTAATGTGGTTTACCGTTTTCTATGCTTATATTTGGGAAGATTTTTACGCTAGCCATTAAAAAATAAAGTTAGAAGAAGTTTGACTCCAATATGACAAAAATTGACCGGAGTATTTAATTTTAAAATTTGAAATTTTTGATGTCATTTTCAACTAGCCTTGAGTGATCGGTTAACTAAGTTAGAATAATTCGAGAAGAAACGTTTAGATGAAGTGCAGCCAAAAAATAGTGTGTATAATTTACAAGCGACAAACTGAGGAAGTTATGTGGTGTCCGTTACAAGGCTGTACAAGAAAGTCATTTGTTATCCACATCAGATTTTTATTTCATTATGTCGCCTTATTTTGAAACTTCAGGTATTATATAAGCCAATAAATAAGAGAATTTGAATAAAGGTTAAATGTGCTTAACATAAATAGGCGTTTGGGTATATGATAATTATCAGTTCATGTTGTACAAAGAAATGCATTAAAGAACTGAAAATGCTACTTTATAGAAAAAGAAGGCTTAAAATAGCTCTTCAAATATTAAACCAATGTTAAAAACACTACCTGTATTTATTTTTTATGATTTGTTTTTCCTTAAAGAACTCGAATTAACAATATATAATATGTATGTGTCTTGTCATGTGGTGTTTAACTTATTTAAAACAACAACGGATTTAAATAGTTAAAATAAAAATAAGTTATTTACAAAGAACAAATTTGAGCATCATCTAAAAACAATGAATGCAGGTTAAGCAAAATGCTAGTAATGAAGATAAAGACAAAAGAGTAATAAAATCCTCAGATCCCCATTCTTCCCAAACAATAAAGATCTTAGTCTTCTTAGTCCTCCTTAGTTCTCAGTCTTCTTAGTTCTTCTTAGTCTTAACAATAAAGATCTTAGTCCAGAAATACGAAACAGTATTTTTTGCTTATACTAATGAAATTGAACTCTTCAAGTGAAGTAAAAATGTAAGCTTAAAAAATGAGCATAAAATAAAATTACCTAAAATTATTTTTTATTTAATTAATGAATGTGAAGGTGTGTGACGTGAAATAATTAGCAGTAGGAATAAATTATTTTTATATTAGTTTGTTTTAAAATTATTGCAACTTAAACAGCAAACATAAATTATTTTTAAATGATGAGATCATAAAATCTCTTAAGATCATAAAGTCTTAAAAGAAACCACATCATTATGATTCATTTTGATCTAAGATTTTTCTTCTCTTCTTTTTCTCAACAATTCTATCCAAGGTACAACCTAGGTAGCGGCCCCGTAATACTGAAGTCCCCCCACCGGCTGCAGCAGGGTCGTTTTCATCGATTAGTTGCCAAGCGATACCTCAGGGACGGTGTTCTTACACTAGACGGTCAAGAAGATGTTGCAGGCCACAGCGAAGGAACTTTGAAATCATTAGATTTATCAGAGAATATGTTTTTGGGTTACATTCCGAACGAAAACAAAGGGTAAGTTCTTACATTTAATTTCAATTTATATGTAATGATATTTAAGAAAAAGGAATATAAATTGCTGATTTCATTTTTTATCTTAAATTTAGATATTTAATTGCAATTTTCTGGTAGCTATTCAATCTGAGAGACTTAACTGAAGATTCCTGTTAGATCTGTTAATTCCGAAAATGTTACAAGAATTAAAGTATTGAATTTTACAGAAGAGAATTATTTACAATTCGATAGTTTCAAAACATCGAAGGAAAATCTAAATATTTAATTCTAAATACATATTATAGTTAAAATCATAGATTGCCTTCGTTAGATTTCACATCGAAATGCTCAGTTTCTTCGATTTCATTGACCCATAGTCAATAAGCAAATTGTTAGCTCATGTTTAATATTTTTAAGGTGAAGTAGAACTTAAATTTTTATTGAATTAAATTTAATGAACTTAATTTTTTATGGTTTAGAAGATATCCTGATATTTTGATTAGAAATTAAATGTCCTTTTGATTTCATATATACTCTGAAAAGTAGAAAATTTGTAATAAGCAAATATAAGTGCAATGGTTTTAAGTTAATAAATTATGCAAAGTTAGGGCACGTTACCTCCGTTATGAATTACTGCAAATTCTTCGAACCGCCACATATTTTCAGTGTTTCGATGCTTGCTGAATTTTGAACCCGCTATTAAATGCACTGCCTTGAGCGCATCAATTACATTAAAATAAAATTGATAGAGTCACATTATCATGCAGAAATTATCCAATGCAAATTTTTGATATGCGTAACTCAGTTGACAGAGCATCTTTTCACTGAAAAGCAATGTATATTCAGTCCTCAGGCGGGGTTCAGGTTTGCACAGCGACGCCCAAATAAAACAGAATATTCAGACGCGTAACGTGTTCATCTCTGCCTTTATTCTTGGCCGCAGTAGCTTAAGAGAAATGATGATTTGGTTTATTTATATATGGTAAAGCAATCGAGGGCCTTCTTTGTAGATATGTCTTCTTTGAGGGCTTCCCAAGGGAAACTGGCACGTATCCACGTTACATTTGGGAAAACCCATAAAAACATTCCTGTCCAGGTTCCTACAGCACTGAATTTTAAGCTCTGAATATTGGAACTAGGCTAAAATTGGGAATACTTGTTGTGAACAGTTAAAATTTTAACCGTATTTCTTAATCATTTCACTTAAAAATGCATGAGTTGAAGGTTTAACTTACCCGAAACGGGATTTAAAATCCCGCGTTTTATTTCCCAAACCTCAAGTTTATTAGACTAATAAATCGATGGCTCGTTTACCTTTCGTACATTACTATTTATTTAAAATACATTGAAGTAACAATTGTACATACACATTGTACGGATACGTATATTTCCTTTCATACGTTAATAGTTACTTAAAATATATTGAAGCAAAAATTGTACATATACATACTATATTTCCTTTCATACATTAATAGTTACTTCAAATACGTTGAGATTATTATTATATTATTTCGGGTGTATAAATTTATTAATCGCGAAAACGAATTACTCCAATTTTCTCAGCAGTCAGCTATATCAAGCATTTATTTCCTTTCTGTACAAAAAAAAAAAGGTTCTAATTATCTAATACGTATTTTTTGTATTTGCGTAATTTTCACGATGATAATTCCAAATTAGTTATTTTTCCTACTTAATTTGTACTGCATTCATCCACGAAATTAATAAACCTATCACAAGATGTTCACATGTCTTAATAAATGGTTTTATTTTTATTCTCAGCTTCCACACCGAGAAGGGTTTTTACCTGAAATAAAGATTGTGTTTTCCTTGAGGTATAAATAAAAAAATCTTATTAAAATTTAATGCTGAGGTTCGATAGCAGCAATAAACATCCAGTTGCGTTCAAGAACGAAACCATTTTAAAAGCTAATCTAAATTTAAAGATTAGAAGCTTTGAATGTATAATATATTTATAATGTATTTTTAATTATATTAATTGCAACAAGTTGATTCTATTCTCGTCATTCAGGCAGAATTTTGGGAATTTAACTATAATATTTGGAGAAAACGAAATCCTTGTGTTTTGTAAAGCAACAGAAAAAAGTCAGTTGGGTATAAATTAATAATTATGTTATTTAAATATGTGATACTTTTAGACATTAAATAAGTTTGTCAGAAATACTTTATTCTTAGCATTTAATTAGTAAATTTTTTATTATTGTTTTCCTATTTTATTTATTATCAAATAATTTATCTTCTATACTTTCCACATACAACAGTGCTTCTTACGGTTTTAAAAATTAAGATCTCATATATTCGAGAATTCAATACTGGAATAAATATGACTGGTTCTAACACTATATAAGATAGTTCGAATGCAAGGGACCCGGGAAACAAGTTTACCTTTTCAAAGGTCTTTTACTGGAAGAAAACAAATATTTCTCTATGAGTTAGCCTTATATATTTATAAGTTCCGTTGTTTCTATCAGGCAAATGGTTTAGTTGTAGAGACTTTAGGTTAATTAGAAAAGTCGGATAGATGAAAATGAGCGACTGCCTTCGCCGGGAATCGAACCACGTATCTCTGGAATACCAACCCAGTGTCCAGACCACCATACCACGAAGGCTCTCCAAGAAGGTGGGAGAAATACCTTATATAGTAATATATCTGGAAATAAAATTATTTAAATATTTTGCATGTGTCGTTTTGATAAGTTTGGAGTTAACATGCTAGAGGAAGATAACCTGAAATTTCGTTGCAGCCCTAAGCAATAACGAATCCTGTAAATGAAGAAGATCCAAAGATGTTTTGAAAAAACGTCGAAAAATACAATTCTGAAATTATTAAAACTGGAACTTGTACTTAAAAACTTCGGATTTAAAGATGCATTATCACAGTGGTTAAAAATTCGCAGCTTAGAAATTCAAACTATTTTGCAGAATTCCAAGGCCTTCCAACGACAGAGCGATAAAATCTCTGGACACTGGTAAATTTTGTACGGTGTTCGAATTTTGAGGAACGTCTTGGCTGCATGGATATTTTCGAGGTTTCCCCTATGTGTAGCGTGATACGAGCCAGTTTCCATTAGAAAGTTTTCCACAAAGCCATCGCTTTCCTTAGGCAGCTAGACCTCTTGTACTTTGCTATAATTAAGCAAAAACAAAACAAAAAAGGGGCAGAATTCGAAAATCGATTACTGAATAAAAGTTTAAATTATTATGTACTTAACAAACCAAATGTCTACAAATAAGCTAAAGTAGCTTTGAACTGACTGATGGCTTATTGCAGCCTGCTATGAACTATACCATCTTTAAAGGAAAGTCGTATATACGAAACAGTTGCATCTTCCGTTTTCGTATGCTGTTGTATACGTGTCGCCATAATCTAAATAACAACAAAGAGAACAGAGATAAGTCAAAACTCCTCTCAATAAGCCAGTAAAATCTCTTATAATCAAAATCGAGTGTAGAAGGGAGTCTAAATAAGTTATTTCCGAACAGCAAACTCAACAATAGAGTTAGTCTGCTAGAGCTTAATCTCAGCTATACCAAGTCTCAAGTAATAGCTTTCCCAAACTCTTGTCTTTACACCTAGCTCACAACTTTATATTTATAACATTGCTGAGGCCCATCAGTGGCCCAGCGGTAATGTTACTGAACACTGGTAGTTGATCAGGTTCGAATTCTAGCGAACGGGCTGGTTGCATCAGAATTTTGTTGTTTTCCCTGAGAACGTAGATACGAGTCAGTTAACCTTAGCAAAATCCTCACGAAGGCAGCCCTTCCCTTAGACAGATAGCTGTAGCATATACAAATTGGTGTCCGCCGATAACATCGCGGCAAAAACATCTCGGACGAAAACGTCGCGGAGAAAACAACGCAAGGCGAAAACGTCGTGCTACAAAACATCGTGGGAGAAAACATCGTAAAGAGAAAACATCGCAGTTCTAAAACATCGTGCTACAAAACATCGTCATCGAAAATAAAGCGGTTCAAAAACTTCGCAGTTTAAAAACATCGTCATCGAAAATATCGTGGTAAAAAATAAAGTATCTACAAATCATCGCATGACGATGTTTTCGGCTGTAACCATACAAATTAACCTATACCATTGCTATAAACCATGGTTCTATAGAGACGGTAAATACTTCCTGAACCTATTAGAAATTATCGCTTGGGGATTGTGAAAAGGTTTCCCGAAACTTCCAGAATGTCGTCAAGTTAATGAAAAATCGCTGAGTGCCACAATGTATTTCTGCCCATATATTTAAAGTCTACTTAAGATAGCCTTACAATTAGCACATCAACTGACTCAAACACGTTAAATCAATGTGTGGAGTTCCTCACTTTGTAAATGCTAATTTACAGTGGAACGTGAAGAATCTTAAGAACTAATAAGCGAATAATCGCTTAAGTTCGTGTGACAGGAAACAACAAGATGGAAGGGGAACTAACCCTTTATTATTCAAATAAGATTTAACACAACTCCGTCTTGGAGTATACAATAAAAGCCGACACTTGGACTTTAACTTAAGAGGCTAAGAAGTAAACAAAAACTAATCTAAACTAAAGAGATATAGCCGAAGCTATCAAGACTCTAACCGGGATGACCCATTAACGCTAATTAACTGCGAAGCTATCAAGGGCCTGAGTACGGCCAAGCGTAATAACAGCTTTGAGTGATAGTAGCCAAAGGGCGGACGCGCGCTAATCAGAAACTCTGATTCTCTCTAACTCAGCAAGTAGAACTTCGCGGTTAAATACCGCTCCTCCTCATTATGTATTCAGATGTGACTCTAAAACTACGCTTTGGCCGGAAGTAGTAAGTCCAAGTTCAGAATTTGACAGGAAAGACGTTTAACTCAAAATTTAACTGTTAATAAAATTAGCATAATCCTTACAAATGTGAAATCACCACACCAAATGCACTAAATATAGATCTAAATAAATATAGTACACGGCCGTTCAGGAACTCATAAAAGCAAAATTAGAATTAAATAAACACAAATAATAAAAAAAAAATTATAACATGTTTTTTTCATGCGAAAATTAAGAAAAGATAGTAGTCTACTAATATTTTTTTCTTTGCATTGTATATAAATTGACATATATAAGATAAATATAAATCATATACGTATACAAATAAAACATATTAAAGGATAAAATTTTGTTTATATTCAGGTCAATCCGATAAATGCGTTTCTTTACATATGGATACTCTTTAGAGTCAACAAACAATATATTTTAGACCATCTAACAATGTATTTAAAAACGGTTAATCCACATGCCATTTAATTAGGGTGCTTATTTGATCCTTTTCAGCCTACAACCTTACTTCATGGTTGCTCTTGATGAGTCAATTTATCATGCATATTGCCAATCTGTATTATTTATTTGCTCAACCGGTATAGTGATTAGCGTTGCTGACTGCCATGCCGAAGAGCCCGCGTTCGAATCCCGGAGAAGGCATATGTGTTTGTAAATGTATAGTGTTGGTGCGGTATGGCGGCACTCTAAATATGCGGCAAGCTTTAAGTCCTATCGTGTGGTTTGGTGGAACGGAAGAGGGGTGGGAGACCCTCGGACCCGTCCTCCCGGGGTGCTCTCCATCAAAATTGGGAGCGGAACTGAGCCAAATCGCACTTTCACCTGTTAAGTGCTCAAGGCTATTGCCTACGACATGCGTAATCTTGCGCTCCTTGCCACGAGGAATTTCGTGGGCTTGGGCCGACTACATCATACAAATGAACATTTAACAGCAACAACAACAACATTCATTTGCTATCTACTTTATGTTAAATATGCATATAATATATATATATATATATATATATATACAAGAAATATATAATAATTTATTTCCTAAATATATTGATTAGTTGATTATAATTAGGAAATAAATTATTATTAACTAACTTTGCAGCAGTTGAGCAAGTAGTAGTAACTTGTTTTCGCACTAAATGAATTTAAGATCATAGAAGAAATATATATATATATGTATATGAATATATATAAAATATATATGAATATATATTCATATAATTGAATATATACGAAATACATATATATGAATATACATGAAATATATATATGGGAATACACATATGCATCTGCAATGGATAAATTACATTCCAAGTGCTTTCTTCCTGCTTTCCATCCACTTCATACTTTCTCGCTGCAAATTAAAGTAGTCTAAAGCAAATTAGCATGCTATACCTTCCTCAGCAGGAACTGAACGCTATACAGCTGATGCTGTAGGCATCGGTAACATGTTTTACTAATTGAATAATAATATATGATATGTTACTCTACTATGCAACAGTTTCAAGGATCTATTGAGAATATTAGAATTCTGGATAGACGGCGCAATATTAATTAGTATTGTTTGTGCATTTGTATTGGGAATGATAGTTCGCCATTAGATGGATACAAACTATGAAACCTTACAACTTCCAGGCTCGTAATTATTGAAAAATTGTTTCAGTAACATCCATTTCAACCATCAGCCAAGAGAAAATGAAGCGGGCATTTAATTTGAAGATAGCTTTGATCCACACGGTAATTACTGTTGGCAGCTCAATAAGAAAAGCCTCGCTAAAGATTGCCAACGTCTTTCCCTACTATCTCTTCTCATTTCAGTTCTGAACATCACTTCCTTTGTAATGAAGGCTGTATATTTCCTTAGAAGAGATGGTATAAGGCAAAAATATCTCCTAACTAGCATGTGCATATTGTTGTTGCTACTACGGTGTGTTTTCCTGGAATTAACAAAAATATGGCAATGGATCTTTGGGAATTCAAGTTGTCAGGTAATATCTCCTAAGCTTTATGCCTTTTTAAGTATTTTCTGGCAGTTGTCGCTCGTTTCGGCCGAATGCAAAAAAGACTCAAGGTTATTTCAACTGGCAATCAATACCAAAACAGCATTTTATGTGACATTTATTAAAGATTGTGAATGTAGCTTCTTAGCGGTTTCTCTTTGCCTTAAACTCAAATATCACTCAATTATTGGAGTTTCTAGTTAGTGCAATGTAGCTTTGAACATCTGTAATACGTAAATCTGTCCATAAAAGATTTCTCTATGTGAAATGAAAAAATAAGTAAGATTTAGCACATTTCTTTTATAGCACAGTGAACATTTAGCAGTAATGCAGTAATATGCGTTCTTCAGCGGTATCTTTGCAAACTTGTTTTATGAATTTCCTAGCGTAGGAATTCGTTTTTCGTTGAGATCAGCAACATTTACAGCAGAGGTTTTCCACTTCGTTGCGTTACGCTTACAGGACATTTGGCACTAACATTAAATGGCAAATTATGCTGACGTAAATTCTTTAATTTAACTTTCACACAGATAAAAGGTTGCCATTCAACGTGGCATGCGACGTTTACTTTATTCATCATATTAGAGTTGCAGTAATATATAGAAAAGAGTGATTTAAAAATTAGCAAATATACGTCTTAATGATTTACATCTTTACTTGATCTTTGGCAATATATTTGACTGATTACAATGCGTTTAGTTTAATTTAGTTTGGTTTATTTGATTCTAGCAAAGCACTCAACGACTATATACCTAAGGTGTGTGACGCTTTCATGTAGACTTTTCTGAGAAAGACTAGTTTATATCCAAGTAACACATAGAGAAAACCACGAAAACGCTCATCATGTAGCCAGCCCGTTCGCTTGAAATGGAACCCAGATCAAACTGCCAGTTTTCAGCGACTTTACCGCTCGGCAGATGGTGGTCCTCCGGTTCAATGCATTTAACTATTATAATATATGAATAGGTATAATATAGTCAATATTATTTATGAAAATGTGCGTTATTACCATAATTAACAAGATATCAATATGGCTCTTTACTTAAAACAGAAATTTTGTTTAAAAGAAGATACACTAAGATAGAGAAAGAAGATACTTTGAAAGAATAGATACATTTTTAAAAGAATATTCTTTTTTGCACGTTTTTTTTATTATTTTTTTTATTTTTGTATCCTAGTTTTAAAAATCTATTGAGACTACATTGCATTAGCTTATTCTTCTCTTCTTTATGCCTTAGATGTTCTGAGTATTATTCATAGCCTTTATTTCTATACAATATAATTTATTATTTGGGGAGATGTCACGAAAGAAAAAAAATAAGACTGGACATATCGATGACTGTCGGACGACTGTCGGATATCGACAACATTTTGATAACCATGCTATAACTTTAATGCATCATTCTAACTATTTTATTAGGTTAAAAAGCATTTAGGTTTTTTTATTATTCTCCAATTATAATTCCTATAGCTGTTACTTCAAGTGCTTGTTAATATTAAATTAAGTAAGTAAACAAAATGTTTTCTATTTTAAAATATTTTTCGCTCACAGCATTTTCGAGAACATTGGAATATCCAGAGGTTTGACTGGCTGCATCCGTCGCTTGAGAGTTGGCCAAAAAGATGTGAATTTAACGTACCCTTTATCTAAGGACATAATACAGGGCCAAAATATAAGTAAGTTGTCAAATGTATTTGCATTTTGAGATGTTTATAGTTAGAAAATGTTGCTTTTAGAGCAGTGTATCTGTTGGTAGATCAAAACGTTCAGACACTAGTTTTGCATCTTGCCGACGAGTAGAATTACAGGTTGCGCTCGCAGTACCTGGCTTTCAAACTTGATAAAGCAGTCTGACAAGAAACATCGCGAAACCTCAATAGGGGATATTATGATGTGTTTTATAATCACGTCTGTGGAATATTCTGCGATTATATCATGTGCAGAAAACCGCAACAACGGGCTAATGTGAAATTCAGTATTAAATCGGAGAGGTTGGTTACAAAGATATTAAACAGACATTTAGCAATGAATCGTACGCAATATTTCGAGTTTGACAGGAGCTCCAAAGGAAAAAAGACTTTGAATACTAACACTTTGAAAGACGTTCTACGAGGCACACCCATAAAATTGTGGAACGAATTTGGGATCCTTTGCATGCGGAACGTCGAAGGACATTTAACGATATTGTAAATACTGCATTTATGTCGTATGGGTCATTTCTAACGTCTTGAACGTGAAGCATCGCTTCAGATTCTCGACAACAATGGCTTCTGCCAATGAGCAGTTAAATACTCATTGCCAGTGAGCACATCTGCCAACGAGCACTCCAATGAGCGTAAGTTTCTCGCCAGCCGCAACGTATTATTGCTTCCCTGCCTCTCTTGTTTTCAGTTCCTACCGACTTTATCCTTTCTCTGAAGGTGAAGATGTAGTTGAAAGATTCCACTTTTACACCTTTACCCATATCCAGTGTTCAAAATTTGTGCACGCGCTCATCCAAATTGACCTATACGCCGCTTTCCAGTGGCGGCAGAAACATATAGAGGTATCTGTTTCTCGTCGCAAGGGGCCTATTTCAAAAGAAATGGTGCTTAAAATTAAGCACGAGATACACTTTTAGTTTCTATTATGATATTTTAGTCTGGAGACTTTTTTACCCATCGTTGTTTCAGAATGCAACTGAGTCCCAGTGGTCCTAAGATTCTTGTCGCAGCAAAATGTATAGCTTGAATTATTCTTAAGATTCAGAATCGTTTGTAAAACGATTCCTATTATACTGATTTATACTTGAGTAGCAGTGTTTATTACAAGAACTCAGTCGAGATTTTACGAAACAACTTGACACATGGAGACAAGTAATTGATTCCATAGCTTACAATCACCGCTTGCAATTCACCGGTATGTAACATATGGAGCACACTTTATCAAGTCTTTTAACTGAAGAAGAAATGTTCGGAAGCAGATATAGCTTTGCTTTTGACTCTCGACATAGATTATAAGTTTAGAACGTTAGAAAGACAATCTACGACTTCATTCGTTTTTTGTTCCCCTGATGAATGAATAATTTAAAATGGAAGACATCTTTCAACTATATTAGGAAACTTATTTCTCGCAATTCACTTTCATTCTTCGTCAGTTCATTGCTAGGATGCCTAAGGAAAATGAATCGTAAGGAATGCCTGAGGAAAATAAATCGCAGCAATCTATCGTGCTACATGAGCATCTAGAAATTCAGGTCTGACATTTTTAAAAAATGGTTGTAATTCCTTTAGAATATAGCCAAATCTTATTAATTCCATGAAACGCTTGCACATGAATGCGATGCTTGATGCGATGAACATGTGAATTTGCATCATAGTAACTGTTTTTTTGTCCATTGTTAAGCGATACTCTGATTTTTTTTTTCATAATGATGTATGTATAATTGTTCAATAGTTTTTAGTATGCAATTCTACAGAATCTTAATTAGTGCATTAGAGATATATTAACATCTGCGTAAATATAAGGGCCATTTTTATACGATTAAGAAATATGTCCCTCTTTTTCCGACAAGTTTTTTATAATATTTCTTGATTTGACGCCTTAGAGCTCAAAATTTAAATTAGAAATTGCTGTTATTTTTTAAATAGGGGAGTGTCGCGGACGACCGTGTAATACGATGCCTTGCCAAAATGGTGGGGCATGCATACCAAATGAAGGAGAGACATTCAAGTGCCTGTGCGCTGAAGGATTTTCAGGTAAGTAAACAAAAATAAGAAATATAAAATAAAACATAAATGTGTTAGCACATCGAGGAATTTATAAATATTGTTAAAATATTATTATACAATAGTTACTACAATAATAGTATTATACAAATACAATAATATTAATATACAATTAACTCTGAGAATGCCATCCAAGAAATCTAAGAATGCGTATTTTAATTAGCAGTGTTTTGTAAAGTTGCATAAAAGTACTAGTCGTCGAATTTAATAATAATAGAATTATTATTTAGTGGATTGTGTTCTCATACTCAAAATATCAGTAAATACAAAGAGTTCTTTAAACATAATCACACATTAATCTTAATTTTCCGTTTATTCAATTCTTTCATTTATTAAACATTTTTTGATGATTTCAATGATTTCTACTTAATACGGACTCTTTACAAAAATGTATTTAAAAAATATATTATTTGGCGGATATACGTAACTTGCGCTTTTCTCTTTATGTGTAATTCTCTCGTGTATTACAATATGGATTCTAAAATAAAAAATATCAGTTAAAATAGTTTAATTGAGAAATATTCAACCTATCAATTGAACAAATTCATCTGAGAGTTTAATTCATTCAGTCACTGTTTATGAATTTTTAAAAAGTAGCTTCGATAAACCATCTGCGTTCAATTAATTACTACAAGAATGTCGAGTACAGTTTTATTATAACAATTCAGTTGTTTAATATTTGATTGAACACCAACAGTTATGTTATTTAAATATTTGATTGATTACAAATAAATACATTTTATAAAATATAATGTTATAGAATATTATAATGTTTATAAAAGTGTTATAAAATATAATGTTTGCAAAATCAATCAAATGATAATCTTGGAAACACTAAAAGACAGATTTATTGTCCATGAATTTTACTTTAGACACACAAGTTTAATATTTCAGAATGGAGTTTAGCTTAAGTAGAAAACTTAAATACTTGTGGTAAGAAATTTTAAAACGTTTAAGCTTTATTTTTAAGAATAAGATAAAACAAATATTTCGTAATTATTTTTTAAATAAATATCGACTTTTAAGATATCAGATTAAACCTCAAAATTAATATTTTAACATTTTTGTAATATAGTATATAGTTGTCTGCCAAATTAAGAGAATCTGCAATTTTTTTTTTGTCTTATTCTAATGTTGTATATTTTTACGAAACGTATTGAATCTAAGATACTAATAGTCGTACCGACTAATTATGCAAATATTCAGAGCTCGAATTTGTAAGCGTACACTTGCGTAACCTCCACATAGGTCATGATTGTGGAGGGGATATGTGCGCCACGGGTGTATTTCGACGATCAATATGCTCGTACCCTTTCCGGACATTTGCATGTATATCACAAGAGCTGGGCACATTTTGTAAGGTATCAGGTAAAGTGAGTAGCCACAAACGTTGGCGTGACGCAATGAGATGGAGCACTATCGGTGTGAGGCAGGCCACTCACAAGTGCAAGTGGCTACAGAGCTCAATATAATGCCCAGTTTCATCAACAAATTGTGAAAATAGGTTCAAATGGAGAAGACCTGGACCAGATCAACTAAGATCCACAACTACGAAAGAGGATCGTTATTTAGCACTTTCAGTGCGACGACACAGGATTGCTACAGCTTCACAGCTCTCACGTGAGCTGTATGTTGCCACTGGAACCCGAGTTTCACGGTCTACAGGTGCCCGAAGATTTTGTCGGAAAACGCGCTACTTGCGTTCTGCTAACTGCAGCACACAAGGGAGTGCGTTTAACGTGGTGCAGTAAACATACGCCTTAGACCATACTTCAGTCAAGCACCGTTTTTACAGATGAGTCGAGATTCAACCTACTCTGATTCTCGGTGTACCTGTCCCTGGAAAGAGCCTGAAAAACGATACCATTCTTCTCTCATAAGGGAAAAGTATCATTACGGTGGTGGAGGTGTAATGGTTTGGGCAGGCATTATATTTGATGCCCGCACACCGCTACATGTTTTTTTACAAATGTTCCCTAACTTCTGTGAGGTATAGAGAGGAGATCCTTGAGCCCTATGTGCGACTTTTTACAGGAGCTCAGTTGATCTTGGGCTCCTGCTAATGGACGGAAATTCTCCTCCACATAGAACTCAGTTGATCGACGATTACCTGGAATGGGAGAGTATTCGGGGCATTCGAGGCAAGATCTTCTGACCTTAACCCTATAAAGCATGTTTGGGACGCTCATGAAAGCACACTGCTACAGGGGGACTCTTCAACTGCATCCTCTCCGGCAGACTGCGCTACCTGTCTGGTTGTGAGAGTGGATCATACTCCGTATTAGACTCATTTTCAGTTCGATAGCATAAATCTCAACATTTTAAAGCCAGAGTGTCGCCAAAGTTAATTGTTGTCCTAAGTAGCCGTCAGTATTATATTATAGTGAAATTCAAGGAGTTCCCAATTATAAAACAGATACCCATAGAGTTCAGAAAAAAATGTGTTGAATGCATGTAATGAAGAAATGTAAAAACAGTTTTTATTAATTAAATGTGTAGAATAAAAATTAATTATAAAGTACAAAATATTTTCAATCTCAGAATTGCCTATTATTAACTGAAATTCTTAGAGATAACATAAACAATCGATTAATAAGTACTTTATACGTAGAAATGTATACAGGTAATTTATTCCTCAATATAATAAAACAAAGAAAAGGTACTGTCTCTAGTAAAATCATACGAAAGATACAGGTACCTTAGCTGGCGTGCTATCCTTGCTCTGAATTGTCTGCTAATAAGCATCTATATCAACACTGATTTACACATATATTTCAAGCACTGCATATGAAAAATTAAACATTTCGTCCTCTCGAATCCATCCTCCGGGAGATTCTCGAATTCGTCCTCTGGTGTGCTCTCTCAAAGCTGGGGCGGGACTAAGCAGAAGAGTAGTTTATCACCTGTATTGTGCTCAAGGTTCATGTCGGTGATAGGCGTAAAAATAGGACTCCTTACCACGATAATATTCGTGCGTTTGTTCTGAATATGTCAGACAAATGAGATACAACAGCAAAAATACTATATTTTAATATTCTGTTCGGCAGGTGGCTTTAAGAATCAATTTCTATACATATGGTTTAACATTCTCCTCTGCGATGAAAATTATATTTTTGGAAGTCTATAAAATATTGAATTTATTTTATTAAAAAATGTGATATAAGCGTGATTAACAATTTTCATGATTTTTTACAGCTTTATTTTTTTAACAGAGATTTAAAAGTAGACACATCCTCCAAACTTTTAATTATTCTCTTTCAATGTTATTTTTTATTTTTATTAGATTTTTTTTTCATCAGTGTCACTGATGTTTCATTTAATCAATGTCTCAATCTAAAGTTAAAGGGCGAAACGTCATTGGGACATCACTTTGCGTATACTTCACAGTCATATGATCTTCTATCGCGCTTTCGAGTTTTGCGTTGACTCTGAAAGGAAAGGCTGAAATGAGAACCGTTCTGTTGTACAGCAGATAGAGGGGTTGAACTGCTCGACTTTTAGAAAAGTCTCAACTAAGAAAGCCTAAAATGGGACATAACAGTAGTAAAAGCAAATATTTTAGACACATTTTTCAAAATGCAGATGTTTATTTTCTTTTCCCTCAAGAGCAATAAAACGTACTGTAAAATTTTATGCATGAAGAACATGATTTCAGAACATGATTTCAAAACAGCAGAAATGCAATCATTCATTGCTCTATCATTATTGTTTTAAGTTCCCTCTATGTGTATATACCATTGAACATTTATTCAATTCTATATACGAGTATATGTAGCAGTTTTATTTATAGCTGCGCTTGAGTTTCTTTATTTTATCCTTAAGGGGATATGTGTGAAAAATCTGAAGATCCTTGTGCCAGTTTTCCTTGTGCCAACGGAGCTACTTGCATTTCCCACGCCGACAATGAGTTTACTTGTATATGTGATAAAGGATATAGTGGGAAGTTTTGTGAACATAGTAAGTAAACATCCTATGTTTTCTGTAACAAATTTGCAAAAGTAAATATTTAAAATAAAAAATATTTTTATATTTATGTATTTATGTTTACACATTATGTTCTAAAATTAAGGAATTCAGTATCATAAAAATATAATAAACTGAGAAAAGTAATAGTCTTGAAGTAAAACAAATAATACGCATAGTGTAGCAAACGTAATTAAAAAAATTTTGCATATGCCTGGGCAGCACTTTAACAACTGCGGTATTGTATGCAGAAGTTAAAGGTTTATTAATCAACATGAAGCTTTTGTTGTGTTCTGGATTTTTTTTTTAAATTAGACTAATCTGCCAGATACAATGTGATTTCGAGTGATACTTTAACATTCAAAAAAATGCTGAGTTTTGACGTTCAAACAATTTTATATTACTGAGTAGGTTTAGATCAACTATTCCAGGCAGAAATTCAGAGATTCGACTTTCAAACAATTTAACATTTACTGAGGGGATTCAGGTGAACTATTCCAGCCTTGTCCAAAAATAATCTTTACCGTCTAAGTTTATTGCAGGCAGGCTTTACAATGGAAGCCATTATATTTGGCTACACGGCATCTTATAACACTAGTCATATAGGATAGGAACACTCGCAGAGTGTTGCAAATAGATCTGAATTTTCGTCTTACCAACTTTCATATCATGAAATTTACAGAAGACATTAAAAGGATATTCCTAGGATATATCATGCTCAGAAATGGTATCCTTTGCCCTCACTCACATCAGAGTTATTTCTATGCAACTGTTTTTTAAAGTGTAAATTCTAGCAAAATGACTACGCGTCATGTCGTACCAAAGACACGAAGATTCCGTTGTAAATATAAGCGTAAATTATGAATATGAAAACGGACTCTGTCATGCATTGTGCAGAGAATTGCTTGTACGAAGTGGAACTCCTCTAAATGATGAGATACAGTACTTCTCTCCAGGTTGTACAGACGTTTACAGGCATAACTATTTTAACTATAAGAAACAAATCTGAAAGCTTTCAGATTCGACATTATGCCCTCAGAGGCGCTTTTTAACGTTTTCTATCTTGCCTTTATTTATTAAATATCATGCTCTTCACACTTAAACCATAAAATTCAATTCAAAAGCTATATCGCAAAATAATTTTAAAATGAGCATATCTTTAGAATTTCCGATACAGTCTCGCGCGCTGGAGATATTTTTTTTTCTTTTTTTCCGTATTGTGTTGCTATTGCTCGCTTTGAAATCGTTGAGTTTCTTAATCAAAAATTTGTCAAAGTGTTATAAAATATGAAATTGATAATAAAACAAAATCCAAATTTCAAATTTGGGCTTCCAGATGCCCATATTTGGAAGGGGATTATGTTATTCAAAATTTGATGGCTGTAGGTACCGTTGTTTTATCACAGTGCGAGAAACATACATACATTTATGCAGATTCGTCATTACTTAACTTCTTCAAATATAACACAGGAGGATAATATTTGGTGGCAGTAGTTTGAAAATAATTACTCATTTACAGTGGAATCGGCGCAAAATGCCAAAATGAAATTAATAGCCCTTCTGAGCTAACGCTCGTTAATAATTACCCATTAACATAAATTTAAATCTGATGAATCAATCTACCGCATCCCGTAGTAATAATTATGCACAAAGCAAAAAAATCGATATTGATTTTTTAAAAGGCATTAAATAAAATAAAATAAAAATTCATCAGAAGGCTCACAGTTTTAAAGAAAAAAAAACACCTCGTATGTTATTGAGCACAGCCAAAACCGCGAAATTGAATCTATTAATTTTCAAAGCCTAAACATTCTAGAGTGGACTAGATAGAGAAAAGCAAAACTCATTTCCATCAGAAATTTAAACATTTTTTATTTTACTAAAAGTAATTATTTATTATAATAAACAAAAATTTAAGATATGAATGCAATTTTACTATATTAACATTCCTTAAATTTGTATTCTTTATTTTTTATTTTATTTTTTTTCCAGAACCGTCCAAGCCAGTTATCATCGAAGAAGTCTACATTCCCGACCTGGACGGGACTGCCTTCCTCGAGTTGCCAACGTTACCGAATGTGGGTCAGGAGTTTGTCATTGAGCTCTGGTTTCTGTCGCGAGCTGACGACGGAATGCTCCTTTACAATGGGCAAGAATCTTTAGGAAGAGGAGACTTCGTGTCTCTTAATTTATTCAATCGATATGTGCAGTTCCTCTATGATCTCGGGAGTGGTGTTGCCAACATCACGTAAGTACGACGCTTTATAACTAAACTTTATACTTACATTTAATCAAAAATACAACGTTCGACCGTATCATTAGAAATCAACAAGTTGTAGTATGCCCAGTTGAATCTTCTTCGATTACAAGAAATGATCAGCAATTTTTGACAATCGAAGAAACCTAAGATCGATCCTTTGCTGGATAACAAAGTGAATCCTTTAAAAACTAATTGTATCCATACTGTTTAATAACATTTCGCTTGAAATGATATTTTATGCTGTAAGTTATAGTAAATAAAAATTACGGTTTTGAAACCTTTTATATATATTTTTCTTTTTGAGGACATCTATATTCTGCATTTAAAATAAAAATATGACAATAAAAATGATGAAATTGTGTGGCAACATATAGCTTGAATACCCTCTGTTTATTTCTTTTTTTATTGTTATTCAGAGTGTAGTCTGTCTTTTTTTCAAGTGATAATGTATGCATTAGTATTTTGATATTTTCTTTATGCCACTTTACATAGAATAAAGAAGTACTGAAACAAGCTTCTGAATTTTCCAGTTGAAAATCTTTTTTAAGCTGATTTTTATTTATAAGATAATTTTTTACCAGTTGGCAACAACAAATCTTATTTTTATTTTCTTAATTGATAAAATTCCATCTTATACTATTTGAAGTTTTGGGATTACAAGTTCCTTGCTGATTAGTTAATTAAATCTTTCTTTTGCTTTTGTCGGTATAGAGACTTATGTATACTTATATCGGTCTTCTATTTCTTTCATACGCTGTAGTAATTTTTTGACTGTATGGTATGTCATTGCAAATTACTAAGTTCCTATTTTTGAAGAAGCAAGAAAGAATTTTTGAAGAAGCAAGAAAGAATTTTTGAAGAAGCACTGAAAGAAATTCATACTATGATTTAGATTTTGCGTTTCCGTTTAAGATATTAAACAATATGTAAGTTTGCGCCTGGCATAGCTGCAATTATTTTTTTTAAAAACCACTGTTAATTTATAACACTTTATCTACCTTTCTTTTACAGCACCCTACAAAAACTACGGTTTCATTACTTCGATCTGAAAGTGCTAGTTCTGGATATCATATATATCAGTTTTCAGCGCAAATGAAGTTTTTCAAAATTCGGAACTTTTATCAGCATTGGCTGCTAAAGAAGGAGCAATGCTTATAAAATTGAAAAATTGTTTCTATGGTGACAGTAATAAGTCGAAGAGATTTTCGAGGTGTGACATTTTATGACTTCCGATAAAGTTTGACACACATTATTAGTAAAATAATTTTCATTTTTAGTAATAATTCACTTCTAAAACGATAATTTACAACTGGTTTTCAAAACTTCCGTTATGGGCATAGGATTCTGAGTGATGAAATTAATGAAGACAACCAAAATCTGCTTGCGAAGCCAGAAAATAGTAGCAGAAAATCATACAGATTATCATGATATAAGGTATATTCTCCATCCTTCCAGCATGCCTTCGTGGTGTAATGATAGCACACTCTACGCGTATTTGAGAGGTCCAGGGCTCAAGTCCCGGCGAAGACACTGCTAATTTTTCAATTATTCAGCATAAAAATACCTAACCACTCTACAGTGTCACGTAGGATAAACGTAAAGAATCTTTGAAGATTTCAAAGCCCAAATGCATTGAAATTTGCATGATCACTTCAAAGTGAAATATATATGTGCGCATTGAGTCCACACAAGTTTTAACTCAAGCTCGAAAGGATGCTCGTATCAAAAGGTGAAAATAAAATCTCAAAAGATTCAAATTTAAAGCGATAAAAGCTGTCTTTGACATTGTAACAGGTGACGATACGTGGAAATTTCCTTGCACCGGAAACTAAAGAATATTCTATTGTTTAGATATTTTAAAATAAATCAAATTTTATGAAGCAAGTATCTTTACAAAAAAAGTTCAGTAAAGATTCTTGTATCTTGTTAAAGCAAAACTCACAGAGTACATTTAAAGCATGCAGTACATTTCAAAACTAAAGCATGATGAAACAGAATTATGGAATATTTGTTTATTTTTTCTTGATTTAGCCTTCAGTAATGTCTCTTTTTCTCAACAATCAAAAATAAACTGCATGATCCTTGACTTACTAGTTCGGAAGGAGTTGTTGTCTCTTATAAATCAAATGTTTCTGATATAAAAATTACTGAATAATACAACTTTCCTTAAAACTAGTCTATTCGAATGGGAAAATGTATTTATGATAAAAGCGTATGTTTTGAAAAGTAATAAAGCGATGAAAAGTAATAAAGCGTACAAAATGCTTTGTATTGTTTTCTAAACTTCCTAAACATTGGCGGCCTAAGTATGCAGCAAAGGATTAGTAGTTGCAAGTATTGTAGTCCAACAATTACTTTATATGATCTTTATTAATTGAGTTATTAAAAGACGTTCCAAAAAATCGAAGGACGGATTTTCCATCATGAGAGTATGTACAGAAGAAAGCCATATTCCTTTCAGGTATATATTTCTTAAATAAAAATCAGTTTCGCACAATACTAACTGTAGCTGTGCGAAAGTAACCAAATTACTATTCTTACTATTCTATCGAGTCGCTGCCGAAATTGCTATATGTGATGTGTATGTTCGACAAGCATATATCATAAATCATGGGAGAAAAAAGAAATCCACAACGGAATACAATTTCAAGACCTGTTGTTGTAAACCCTTCCTCATATTGCATGCTTTGGTCCGTCTAGAGTCAAGATAGCATACTGAATACAATGGACCATGAGAACATGTAATCTTCTGAATTTTCTCTTCGCCAGCTCATGTACGACAAATTTTTTTCGCAGGTATCAATTCTGAAAGTAAATAAATTATGATGCTTCTTTTTAAAATATTTTTGCAATTAATTATGCTTTTAATACGGATGCGTAGTGATACATTTTAATTAGATGCTACTGCAATGGTTCTATTCCATACATAATAAAAAAAAAAAAGATTTCTTTATTCAAACGTCCGTGATTCTTATTGCCGGATAGAGGGAAAAATTTCAGAATTGTAAACAGATGTATGCTGTTTCCATTTACATTAAAAACATGAAAATGTATCAAAATTTCTTCTTTCTTGTTAAGGAGCTCGCCGGCGGCCAAGCGGTGAAATCTGGCAGTTCGGTCCAGAATTCGAATTCCGGTGAAAGGGCTGGCATTTTCATGGTTTTCTCCATGTGCAATGTGTATACGAGCCAGTTTCCTGTAGATAGTCCTCCACGAAGGCATCCTTTTTCTTAGGCAGATAACCCTTGTATACAGGGTGATTATAATTAAAGTTTAAGTTTCAAAACGCTATAAAAAAAGAACCACTGATGAAAATGATGTGAAATTTGAAAGGAATGTTATTGAAAAAGGCGGAAAGCGTATGGCAGAAGAAAAAATTTAGTTTCAAAAGTTAGCAACAGATGACGCTGTAAGCGGCAGAATCACGACGAGAAACGAGAAATGATTCGTAAAACAATGGCTAAGGTGGAAGTTACACATTAAAAAAGCATTGACAATTATAATTGTTGAATAATTTTATTTGCATGACTGTACATATCAAATCGAAAGGGACAAATCGGTTTCAAGAGTTTTGCGGCGACATACCGCATAAGAACCATTCATCAAAGAGTTCGGAACTGTCGCAAAAACATGTTCAATATGGTGTCCACGTGTATGCAACAAGTTGAAGTGACAAAACAGCATGTTCCACAACGGATCGCAGTGTCTCGGGGTGATGTGTCAGAATGTGTTGCGAAATGCGTGCCTTTAATTCCGCTAAATTTGCAATTGGAGCACGGGAACACAACATCCTTCAGATCTCCCACAGCCAGAAATCAACGGAGTAAGATCAGGCGATCGGGACGGCCAGGATGTAGGGAAATGACGGCTGATAATTCGAGCATTTCCGAAATGACGCCTCAGCAGCTGTTTCACGGGATGTGCAATGTGCGGAGGAGCGCATCTTGCATAAAAATGATTTCATCCACACATCCATGCTGTTGCAGAAACTGGAATCACGTGGTGCACAAAAGAGACGCATACCTCTGACCAGTGACGGTGCGGGAACAGGACCGGAAGCACTCGTTTGCTCGAAAAATATGGGTTGTAGGATGAATGATGCCGTAAAGCCACACCATACCGTTACCTTTTCAGGATGAAGTGGTACGGGGTTGCGTTTGCCAGTGGATTTTCTGTTGCCATATTCGACAATTCTGGGTATTCACGTATCCTGTCAGATGGAAATGGCTTCATCTGTCCACAAAAAATTTTCCACGGCTTCATTATCCACTCCATGCGAGCCAGGAATTCTAACGCAAACGTCTCCCTAGCTGTCAGGTCAGACGGAAGCAACTCCTGCACATGGCCATTTTTGTACAGATAGCATTGCAGGATGTTTCGTACAATTTTCAGCACTGTGCTCATAGGCCTGTCCAATGTTCGGACAATTCCTCGTGCAATGCACGGTTTGCACACCACCGGCCGACCCCTCTGTAATGCTGTGGCCACTTCTTCAACTACGTCGAATGCACTCGGTTTCTCCACTCTACAGATTGCACATCAAACGAACTTGTCGTTTCGAATTTTTGCATCATTTTCCTTAGACTACGACACTCATTAGACCAACGCCTCTTTTATACCGTTCAGTGTCCTGAATTTTTGCAGAGCTACTCTTGACAATCATCATTCTGTAATACAGCTTTACCAGCAGAGCGCGGTCCTGCAGTGAAAAACCCATGGCGAACGTCTGAGACGCGAAATGAGGAACAGCCTGGTACCTGGTGGCTTATAAACACTGAAATTTAACTAACATTTTAATTTACGTCTTCTTTCGCTTGCAGCGCCATCTGTTGCTAACTTTTGAAAACTAAATTTTTTCTTCTGCCATACGCTTTCGCCTTCTTCAATAACATTCCTTCAAATTTGACGTCATTTTCATGAGTGGTTCTTTTTTTATAGCGGTTTGAAACTTAAACTTTAATTATAATCACCCTGTACTTTGCCGTAATTAAATAA